TAGTTTTTTTGTATTATTGTTTTAGAGGGAGAGAGAAAGGAAGAGGGAGAGAGAGAGAAAGAGGAAAACATAGATGTGAGAGAGAAACATCAATCAACTAACTTTTGCATACCCCTACTGGGGATCGATCCTGCAACCCAGGCATGTGCCCTGACCGGAAATTGAACTGGCTACCTTTTGGTACACAAGATGACACTCAACCAACTGAGCCACACCTGCCAGGGCAAAAGTTTATAGTTTTAACTCTAAAATTTAGGTCTATGGTCTGTTTTATTCTCTGGACACAAAGACACACACACACACACACACACACACACATACACACATCTATATACACCCGCATACATGCATACATATATATTTTATATACACACACACACACACACACACACACACATTCATATGTACTAATATGGATATACAACTGTTCTATTTAGAGAGAGTGGAAGGGAAGGAAGGAGGGGGAGGGAGAGAAACATCCATGTGGGAGAGACATATTGATTGGTTGCTTCCCACACACTCCCTGACTAGGGCGGGGGATCAAACCTGCAACCCAGGTACATGCCCTTGACCAGGAATCAAACCCATGACCCTTTGGTGCTCAGACCAATGCTCTAACCACTGAGAATGCCAGCCAGGGCAAGATTTACTTTTTCTTTTCCAGTCTGGCTGCCTTATTGCACTGGCTGAGACCTCTAGTACAATGTGGAAGTGAGAACAGATATCTTTGTTTTGTTCCCAGTCTTAGAGGAAATCATTCAACTTTTTACTAATAAGTATAATGTTAGCTTTATATTTGTGTAGATGCCCTTTATTAGGTTGAGGAAATTTCTTTCTGTTTCTTGTTTGATGAGGATTTTTATCATGAGTGGTTATTGAATTTTGTGAAATGTTTTTTCCTGCATTTATTGAGCTGAACATATGGTTTTCTTTGTAGTGTTTTATTTATTTATCTATTCATTCATTCATTTTTTAACTTTCTTTTTTTTATACTCACCCAAGGACATTTTTGCATTTATCTTCAGATAAGAGTGGGAGGGGGAGAAACATAGATGAGAGAGACACATCGACTGGTTGCCACCTACACAGTCCCAACCAGGGCCGGGGACAAAATGCAACCGAGGTACGTGCCCCTAGCGGTAACCGAACCTGGGTCTCTCTGGACTGCAGGCCAATGCTCTAACCGCTGAGCCAAACCTGCCAGGGCTAATACACTGTTTTCAATAGTTAATGTTCCAGGATAAACACTACTTAGTCATGATGCATGTTTTTTTTCTTCCTTTTATTTATTTATTTTTATTAATTTATTTATTTTTGTTACAGATGTTTCTCCTTTTTCCTTCACTGATTCTCCTCTCCCTCCCCGCCCTGTCCCCAGCTTTGTTGTCCATGTCCAGTGTTCATGCACACATGCATATAAGTTCTGTGGTTTATCTCTCCCCCACCACTCCCTCATCTGGGGATTGTCAGTCTGTACCCCACTTCACGTCTCTGGGATTACCCCATTCTTCAGACTGTTATGTTCATTATATTCCACAAATAAGTGAGATCATATGATACTTGTCTTTCTCTGTTTGGCTTGTTTCGCTTAGGATAATACTTTCCAGGTCCCTCCGTGTCATCTCAAAGGATAAGAGATCTTTTTTTCTTACAGCTGCATAGTACTCCATTGTGTATATGTACAACAGCCCAAATGTCCAGCAGTAGACGAATGGATAAAAAAGCCATGATGCATGTTTTTTATATATTGCTGGATTTGATTTGCCACAATTTTGTGAAGGATTTTTGTAGCCATGTCTATGATCATGAGATATATTGGTCTAAAGTTTTCTCGTAATGTTGTTGTCTGGTTCTGGTAGCAGGGTAATAAATAGAATGGGTTGTGAAATGTTCTTTTTTTTTTTTTTTTCTAGAAACGTTTGTACATAATTGATATTATGTCTTCCTTAGTTGTTTTTTTGTTTTTTGTTTTCTTTTTGGTATGTGCCTCTAGTGGGAACCAAACCCGGGACTCTTTGGTCTGCAGGCCAACGCTCCAACCGCTGAGCCAAACCGGTCAGGGCATGTCTTCCTTAGTTGTTTTTCAGAATTCACCACTGATGCCATCTGGGCCTGGCAGTTTCTTCATAGGAAAGATTTTAAATATAAATTCAATTTCTTTATAGATACAGTTCTATTGAGATTATCTTTAGATGTCTCTCTGTCTAGCTACTACCTGGTCTTGGATATCTTGCCCCCCAAATCCTTGCAATCTTGGCCTTTCCGAAGTCTGAACTCTCCTTTTGAATTCAGCAAGATCACAGGACTGTTTGATTCCTTTTCCTATGATATATCCTGGAAACTCGAGGCAGTAAGTTGGGACAAATGTAGGACTTACTTTATCTGTTTCCCCTCTTTCAGGGATTATTGTCCTGTGCTACCTATTGTCCAATGTCTGAAAATCATTGATTCATGAATTTTATTTAGATTTCTAGAGTTTTAGGCAGGAGAGTATATCTAGTCCCTGTTACTCCACCAGGACCAGGAGGAGAAGTCCCTTTATTGATTTTTCTATTGACATATTTCTTATTCATTTGTAAGAGTTCTGATAGATATAGATAGATATATAGATAGATATAGATATAGATAGATATAGAGAGAGATATATTCTAATCTTCCCTCAATTTTGTATTTGCCTTTTTACTTTTTGTATGGTTATTTAATGTTTATTCATTTTTAATTTTTATGTAATCACACTTCTTGATTTTATCCTTTATGATCTTTTTTTTTTCTTTTTTATTGATTTTTAGAGAGAGAGGAAGGGAAGAGGGAGAGAGAGATAGAAACATCGATGAGAGAACATCGATTGGCTGCCTCCTGCATGCCCCCAACTGGGGATCCGGCCCACAACCTAGGCAAGTGCCCTGACCAGGAATCAAACTGGTGACCTCTTGGTGCATGGGTCAAGGCTCCAGCACTGAACCACATCAGCTGGGCTGATCTTTTTATTAATATATATATATATTTTTTTGTTGACAGTATTTACAGATGTCCCTCATTTCCCCTCCCTTTGGCCCCTTCCACTCAGCCCCTACCCCACCCCAGGCTTTCACCACACTATTGTTCGTGTCCATGGGCTATGCATAAGTATGTAAGTTCTTTGGTTAATCTCTCCCTGTCTCTCTGCTCCTTTATGATCTTTATGTTTGTTTTATAACTTAGGATTTATCTCCGCCAGATACTAATTTACCTATATTTTCTCAGAGTTCCTTTGTGCTTTCATTTTGCTTAAGAAATAATTTTTTGCCCAGCCAATGTGGCTCAGTGGATTGAGTGTCGTCTATGGATTGAGAGGTCCCTGTTTGATTCCTAGTCAGGGCACGTGCCTGGGCTGCGGGCTCAACCCCCAGTAGGTGACATGCAAGAGACAGCCAATCAATGTTTCTTTCACATTGATGTTTCTCTCTCTCTCTCCCCTCCTTTCTCTCTAAAAAATCAATAAAAAACATTTTTTTTTAAAAAAAAGGGTTTCTATTTTTTTAAAAGAAAATAATTTTTTAAATGAACCCTGGAGAAATTATTTACTTTGTTTTATTCAGCATATTTTTCTGGGATGAATAATGCATTTGAAAACAATTTTGAGCTAATGTATTCTCTATCTCAGAATGCTATGTTTTTAAGTACTTTCTTTACCTTTCTCATTTTACCATTTTATTGACTTGAATTTGAAAATCTGGTTATTGATATAATTAAAATAGTGGTTTATGTCCAGAGTTCTTTGGCTTATTTTCGGGGGGAGGGGGAGGGCTCTTAGTGTTAGTTGCAGAGCTTCCTTTTCCCGAATTGTGTATTCTTTCTCGGTCGCTTTTTGAGTTAGCCTCCTTCTCACCCCCTTTCATTCTCTCCTTGCCAGTCCCTCCGCATTCCCCATCTTCTCTCCCTCCTTTAACTCCTCTCTCCTTTTTACCTCTTCCCTTACTGTTTTTCTTATTCTTCTGTTTCTTCTGTTTGTCTCCGCTTCCTCCTCCTTGCCTTCTCTGGAGACAGGACAGAGAATATAATTTATTGCTATATCCCAGTGCCTGTTTTAAGAATGTCTGGCAAATATCCGACCCTCACTATGTATTTGCTGAATGATAAATAGTAGAATTTCATAGATAATAAAGATGTCTCTTGCCAAGTTTTTTTCCTGGCACCTGTGACAATTCAGTTTAATGAACATTCTTGTGAACTCATTATATGTCATACAGACACTGTGCTATGCTGTATTTTTGAATCACAAAGACGAGATTAAGACATAGGCTCTGGCCCTGGCTGGTTCGGCTCAGCGGTTAGAGCATTTGCCTGCAGTCCAGAGAGACCCGGGTTCGGTTTCCGCTAAGGGCACGTACCTCGGTTGCAGTTTGTCCCAGGCCCCGGTTGGGTTGTGCAGGTGGCAACCACTCGATGTGTTTCACGTCAATGTTTCTCTCTCTCTCTCTCTCTCTCGCCCTCTCTCTCTCCTTCTCTCCCTCCCTCCCTCCCTCCCTCCTACTCTATTTGAACAAAAAATAGAAAAATGTCCTCAGGTTAGGATAAAAAAAAAAAAAAGACATAGGCTCTGCCCTCAAGGAATTTACAGTATGGTGAAAGAGATGAACAATAATCTATTTGATTATTTGAAATCTTTATGCTAATACATGGAGGAGGAGCATTTTCAGAGAAAGCTTGCTGGGAGGGATGGTGAATAAAATCTTGCTAGATAAATAGAAGTAGGAAGGGCAACAACTCTACGAACATACTTAACAATACTGAACTATACACTTAAAATGATTAAGAGGATACGTTTTATGTTATGTGTATTTTCCCAAAATAAAAAAAGAGTAGGAAGTGCATTCCAGGTAGAAAGAGCGGCACAATCAAATTGTCACCTGAAACACTGACCAACTGATAGGAAACTTAGATGATGTATAGTCCTTTCTAATGCCTAGTTAATTACTTCAAGTTGTATATTTACCATCATTTTTCTCCCTTTTTCTCAGAGTTGGGTATCAGAAATTAAAAAAGAAGAAAATGAAATACCTTTTCATGAAACTGGAACATTTCCAGCAAAGGAAGAAAATCTGCCTCCAGTTCGTGGTTCAAACAGCTGTCTTCATGTTACCAAAGTAGGTCTTTTGGTGTTGAGTGTGGTTGGTAGGGGAAGATGGTTGTTGTTTATTAAGAAACCTGTCTCCATTTAATCAGTGTAGCCAATGTGTGATGTCCTCTAGGAGAGCAGGGAATTTTTTTTTTTCAACTGGTCATGTGCTGTTATCTTCATGAGTGGGCTATAGGTCATCACTTGGAAATCAGAATGAAACAGTTTTTTCTTTTGAAGACTGGCATCTTAGGTTTACTGCCTTTCTTCATTTTTCTTTTGCTGTTCTGTCTTTTCTGCTCTGGCCAGTGTTGATGAGCATAGAAGATCCAATTCAGCATGTGAGAATGTCAGGGAATAATTTATGTATCCAGTAGAGGTAGAGAATGAAAGGGTTAGTAACATTTTAAAGGGTAAAGGTAAAAGCTCGCAAAAGGCAGAAACTGTGAAAAATGCGCTGCTTGCATGACCTTTGCTCAGCCTTCTGTTGAGTCCGACTTATCTAGATTATCCGCAAGGCAATGGATCACCTAGCAGATGCAGGACGAGATACTAGACCAGTCCAACTGTAAAGTGGACAACAGGCCCGGCAGAGTACGCCAGCAGAAACTGCCAGAAGCTAAAAGTATATAACCTACACCCCGACTGTTTTTCGAGGCTGACGCCTTTTCAGCTCAGTCCACCTGCACCCAGGCACATGCAATAAAATCGTTTTGCTCTACATTGGCCTTGCATTGTGGATGTGATCTCCCGCTGGCTCAGACCTTTGTGAGAGGAAATAGTTCATTACAGAATTACCTATGGATCTAAAGTATTAAATGATACAGATACAGATGTCCTTTTTCTAGTGCATGTTTTCCCCCCCTTATCTCCAGCTCCTTATGATTATTCCTCTGTGGTGATCCCTGTTTTGTCATGTAGACCTTTCCTTTTTAACCCATGGATTCCATAGAGAAGGGGCCTGTTGGAGTTCCAGGTCCATCCAGTTACCTTTAAGCTGAACCGAGCTTCTTGGCATCCACCTGACCCTGATATTACATGGGTCACATGTTCCATTTCTTTCTGTCCTACATTTTTTCTGTTATTTCCATCATTTCAAAAAGTATGGCTAACCAAGTCTCTTCATTCTGGGTTCATTTTTCTTCTTATTTTCACCTCACCTTTGAATCCTCAGTTTTATTTAAAAAATATCCATAGCCCAGCCCTGGCCAGTTTGGCTCAGCGGTTGAGCGTCGGCCTGCAGACCAGAGAGTCCTGGGTTCTATTCCCGCTAGGGGCTCGTACCACAAAAAATATATATGTGTGTGTGTGTGTGTGTGTGTGTGTGTGTGTGTGTGTGTATACATATATAACCATCCATAGCCCTTCATCACTCTGCCATATGATAATTTACCTTCCTGGAACTTTTAACTTCCTTTTAGGAATTGCTCATGTAACTGAGGTGCACCTTAATGTGGTAAAGATAGCACCATCTGTAACCAATGAATTTATATTTATTGAATACCCATTATGTGCTAAGTCTGTGCTCTATAAAAATAACAATGAATAAGACTTGGGCCCTGGCCGGTTTGGCTCAGCGGTTAAAGCGTCGGCCTGCGGTACAGAGAAAGACTTGGTCTCTTTACCTGCCAGTGTGACTCAGTGGTTGAGTGTCATCCCCTGCAACAGGAGGTCACAGTTTGATTCCCGGTCAGGGCACATGCCCAGGTTGCAGGCTCGATCCCCATTAGGGGGCGTGCAGGAAGCAGCCAATCAATGTTTTTCTCTCATCTATGTTTCTACATCTCTCTCTCCCTGTCCCTTCCTCTCTCTGAAATCAATAAAAACTTATTAAGAAAAAAAAGACTTGGTGCCCGACCATTGTGGCTCAGTGGTTGAGCGTTGACCCATGTACCAAGAGGTCGCTGGTTCAATTCCTGGTCAGGTCACATGCCCAGGTTGTGGGACCAATCCCCAGTGGGGGGCATGCAGGAGGCAGCCAATCGATGTTCTCTTTCATCGATATTTCTCTCTCTCTCTCCCTTTTCTCTTCCTCTCTCTCTAAAATCAATAAAGAAAAAAAAAAAAGACTTGGTCTCTTCCCTCAAGGAGCTTATAGTGCAGTGGGATCAACAGACTAGTGGTGTAGTGGTTTTCAGAGAATGGTCTGGGTTCTGCTCATCACAGAGATCCGTCCTCAGGGTCCAGAAAATCAATGCTATTTAAAAAAATCATGCTAATGCCTTGTCTTTTCCACTGGGTTGTCATTGCACTGAAGGTGGAACTGCTCGTACCTTAGCACCAGTCAGGGCAGTGGCACCAAACTGTACTGCAGTCATTGTTTTCTCCACCACTACAGCCTCGGTAAAAAATTCCAATTGAAAAAATGTCTTTAACAAAACAATAAAATCTATTTTGTTAAACCTTGAATCTCAAGGACACATCTTTTTAATATTTGTGTGACAAATAGGAGTATGTGGAAAGCATTTCACTGTGAAGTAAAATATGATTGTTATCTGAAGAAAAGCACTTGTATGATTGAATTGCCAGGTTAAGGTGCCACTTTTTTCTGGAATAAATTTCACTCCAAAAATGTATGGTTATTCAGACTTGGGTTTTTTTGTTTGTTTTGTTTTGTTTTTATCCTCACACGAGGACATTTTTTCCATTTTTTGTTCTGATAGAGTGGGAGGGGGAGAGAGGAAGAGAGAGAGAGAGAGAGAGAGAGAGAGAGAGAAACATCCATGTGAAAGGGACACATCGAGTGGCCACCACCCGCATGACCCAACCAGGGCCGGGGACAAACTGCAACCAAGGCATGTGCCCCCAGCGGGAACCGAACCCGGGTCTCTCTGGACCGCAGGCTGATGCTCTAACCACCTAGCCAAACTGGCCAGGGCAGACTTGAGTTTTTTTTGTTGTTGTTTCTTGGGGGGTAGGGGGTGGGTGGGCAGACATTGCACTGAAAATGAATAAAGTTGCCCTGTCACTTCAGGGAAAACAACTGACAGTGCCTTTTGCCGGTGATAATACCTGAGCATTCAACTACAATTTAGAGTATTTCATATTCCTATATGGCTCTTGAATACCTGGTTGTGACAAAAAATTTCCTCTTGAAGAGCGTACTTAGACTTTTCTGATAAGTTCTATGAAGATATTAACAAATATATATTTTTTTTATTGCATGATGAAATGTATGAATCTTTGGAAGATCTGCTAACTCCACATGATCAATACCCAATGTTGCAAAACCATTCAGAATGGTTTCAGATTTGCACTAACTTTTTTTTTTTTTTTTTAAAGAATATGTTTTTATTGATTTTTGAGAGAGAGGAAGGGAGAGGGAAAGAGAGAGAGAAGCATGGATTGGCTACCCCCTGCAAGCCCCCTACTGCAGATCAAGCCCATGACCCTGGCATGGACCCTGACCGGAATTGAATCAGCAACTTCTTGGTGCTTGGGACAACACTTAGCCAACTGATCCACACTGGCCAAGGCATGACTAACTGTTAAGAAACCATTTACGAAACTATTTGTGAGCATAATGGCTATTGTTTGCTTCCCTCCCACCCTCTTCTGGTGCTTGCTGTGGGCATGTGACCTAGGTTGGGCAGTTTAGTAGCCCCCAGCTAGTGCTTGGTCAGGGATGGGCACGTGACCCAAGCTAGGAATCAGAGTCCTCCCCTAGGATTTCTCTAAAGATGAAGAGAAGAGTCCTTTTCCTTTCTGATTGGGAGTCCTGTGAAGGTATAATCCCAGGCTGCTTGTGGCCATGTTTCCTTCTACATAGGAAAAAGCAAGTAGCCAGTAGGGAATGCAAAATCAGTAGGCAGAAAGAAGCAGAGACCAGGGACAGGGAGAGATGAAGAGTTGGAGAGAAAGAGAGACCGTATGACTCCTTCATCCAGTAATACCCCTGCCCTTTCTTCCATCAGTTTGCTAACATAAGCCAATAATTGATTGTGTTTAAGTAGCATTAGTCCAAATTGGTATCTCTTGTTGTAAACAAACCAGCTTTGACTAATATAGCAAAGTATTCTTTAGTGCCTAGATTTTAAAAGAATGATAGTTTAGTACCTTTTTATTATAAGAAAATCATCAATAATCACATTTCATATATGTGAGTTTTTTTAACTTTATGTATGTATTTAAAGTCCTGTGGATTACTCTGAGAATTAACTACAAATTTAAAATCTTTTAAAAAGCCTGCTATATATTACTCTGTTAATAATTTAATATTGGAGTTATTATAATTTCAAGGGTATCTATTTCTCTTATTCAATTTGTATATCTTACTCCAATACTTCACATTGCATTTATAGTAAAACCTACTAATCTTATATGAAATATATCTCATAAAGTATGTTTTTATTCTTTTAGGAAAAATATTCTAAAAGTAGGCCAGCTAAAAAGAAAATCCCGAGGGATTATGCAGAGTGGGATAAGTATGTTTTATTTTTATTTTTTTGTGTGTAAAATTTGTCATTGAAAAATTCTCTACCATAACATACTGTAATAAATTTATAATTATTACAAACCTGAACATATCAAGAATACCAAGGTACTTCAGTAGAGTGTTAAGAGTGTATAGTCTAAGCATTTTTTTTAAATTGACTTTTTAGAGAGAGGGGGAGAGAAATACAGATGAGAGAGAAACCATCAATCAGCTGCCTCCCGCATGCCCGCTACTGAGAACTGAGCCCACAATCCAGGCATGTGCCCTGACCAGAAATCGAACCAGTGACCTCTTGGTGCATGGAATGACCCTCAATTCACTGAGCCACAAGGGTTGGGCAGTTGAAGCACTCTTGATCTTTTTTTCATTAAATAAAAATCTCCATCTTTTGTTTATAAGAGCAACCAAAAATAACTAATATAAACCTTCTATTTAAACAGAATAAAAAAGAACAAAAATTTAAAACAGAGAGAAATGTGTCACAATTTTAATTACAAGATTCTGAACAGTTTAGGTCTGATTAATGTTTAAGTTCTCACTAAATTACATGGTTTATAAGAAAAAACACAGCCCTGGCTGGTTTTCTCAGTGGTTAGAGCGTTGGCCTGCGGTCCAGAGAGTCCCGGTTTCAGTTTCTGCTAAGGGCATGTACCTTGGTTGCAGTTTGTCTCCGGCCCTGGTTGGGTCATGTGGGTGGCAGCCACTTGATGTGTACCTTTCACGTCGATGTTTTTTTCTCTCTTCCTCTGTCTCCCTCCCACTCTATCTGAACAAAAAATGAAAAAATGTCCTCGAGTGAGGAGAGAAAAAAAAAAAAGAAAGAATACAGATGACTTATAATACAAACTATTATGGATTTATGGACTGTGAGTTTAAAGGCACAGTGATACAAATATATCAGTAATACATTTTATTTTATGATATTGTACTTTTTAAAATTTTTTATTCTTTCTTTTAAGATTTGACGTGGAAAAGGAATGTTCAAAAATTGATGAAGATGACAAAAAAATCCCTCTAATAAACAACAAGTCACATTTGTCTAAAATTGAGACAAATTTAGACATAGCAGGTAATTGGGGAAAAATAAGAACAATTTAGTAGTCTTTAAATTTTAAAAATTATGATAAAAGCTGTCAAACTATAAAACATTCTCTTTAAGTGCTGCAGATTTTCATTAAAGGTTTATGCATTTCCTCCAAAAGTGACCACTTTTAACAAATTCAGATCTGTTCTTTACTTAATTTTATGAGTAACAGTTATGCTACTTAAATTTAGTAAGACTTAAAACTACAAACCTATTTTTAGTGTAATTCATTTGTTTTTCATTCCTTTTGTGAATCCTCTTTTTTTTTCAAATTCCTCAAATTTATTTTCTTTTTGCCTCAAAACAAAATGATGGAGCTGTTTGTTTTCATTTGAAGTCCATAGGCATATAGAAAAACAAGACAAATCATAAAAAATCTAAACCCTCAAAAACTGTGAATGCTTTTTAAAAAAGAAAAGAAACATTACTAAACTTAGGAAACCTTTTATTTTAATTATTTAACAGTCTTCTGCTTCTGTTAAAGCAAGCATTTTTTGATTTATGTTTTTAAAAATATTCTATTAAATTATATATTTACTTAAAGCAGATAACATTTGGTTCTAGGTCTAACTGAGAAGGAAAAGGATTTTCTTGCTGCTCGTGAAAAGGAAAAGGGAAATGAAGCTTTCAACTCAGGAGATTATGAAGAGGCTGTGAAATATTATACAAGGCAAGCTGATTTTTGTTGTGGTTTAAACTTGGTTTATCATACATTCACTTGTGCTTGCATTTTTTTTTTTTTCAATATTATTTCTCAAAGCTTCCAACCACCCCCACTTTTGACAGCGGTCCCAACTTTCCTGTTTTACAAAGAAAATAGAAGCCATCTAAAAGGAACTCAATAGAAAGTCTAAATAGCATAAATCTAATCCTAGTACTTGTGGTACGGCCTCTCACCATAAGGCCTTTATATATGCTGGGCCCTCTGTCTAAAAATACTCCTCCCTCCTCTCATTGTCTAGTCAATTCTAACGTACACTTCACATCTCAGCTCTTGTCTCGCTTCTTTGGAGAAGTCTTCCCTGACCTCCCAGACTAAGTTAAATCTTCACCCTAATCCATCCCTACCATCCCCCTCCCTCTTCTCCCAATTTATAAGGCTCTTATAACAAGCTTGCCTCGCCTTTGTGGCACTTGCTAGAAGGATAGTTTAAGTTTGTGTGATTTGATATTAACTGGACTGTAAGCCCTGTAAGAGCAGAGGCCACTTGTCAGTTTTTTATGCCACTGTAGCCCCAGCAAAGTACCTGGTTCATAGTATATGTTCAATAAATACCTGTATGAACTTCTGAAGCTTGTACAGTCTATAAAAAGTAGACTAAGTTCCTCAAATATTAAGACAAACTGTGCTTGTAGAATCACTACTGCCACCTTAGAACTAAACTTTGTACAATCTTCCTTTTAAACAGCATTTTTTCAATGTTGTATCACTAGAGAAGTTTTTCTCAGACTGTTGAAGTGAACATACAAAGTAAAGAGGATACTGATGTATCATTCATTCAGTACGGCCTCTCCTATTCAGCAAGGTGGATATGAGCTCTGGTATTGTTCTTTCTGTTGTAGATTTACACCAGGGGAGAATGTCTTGTCTATTACAGGGAACACAATTTTCCTTCTTCTTTAGAGAAATCATAGAGTTGAAGAAGCAAAGCATAGCATGATGGTTAAGGGAATCCAGACTGCCAGTTTCTGATCTTGGGCAGATTCTTTCTCTCTCTTGCCTCAGTTTTCTCACTGTGATGAGGCTACACGGGTGCCTACCGCAGAGCAGCTGTGAGGGTTAAATACAACAATAGGCAGGATTAAAATCATGGTAAAGAGAGCAAGTGCTGGAGTAGACTGTTTTGGTTTGAACCCTGACTTTTCCCATTACTAGCTGTGACCTTGAACACATACTTAACCTTTCAGTTGCATCTATTTTCTCATCTGTAAAATGGAAAGAGCCTTAACACCCTCCTCTATGGACTGTAATGAGGATTAAATGAGTTTAATGCTCAGTGCCTGGAAGTGGGAAGTACTCATTGTGAGGTGCTCATATTCTTTATTCTTATACATATTTTCTGTCTGATCTCTACTCAACCCTGTAACTTCTTTTTTTAAAAAGTTTATTTTATTTTATTTTATCCTCATCTGAGGATGTTTTTGTATTTATCTTCGGATAGAGTGGGAGGGAGAGAGGGAGGAAGAGAGAGAGAAACATTGATGTGAGAGAGACACATCAACTGGCTGCCACCCACACAACCCCAAAGGGGGCCGGGGACAAACTGCAACCGAGGTATATGCCTTTAGCGGGAACCAAACCCAGGTCTCTCTGGTCTGTGGGCCGGCACTCTAACCACTGAGCAAGACCAGCCAGGGCCATGTAACTTCTTTATATTCATCTTTTTAAAACTCCTTTCACCTTTTTTATGCATTTCAAATTTTTATTTAGTATTTTATTGATTGATTTTAGAGAGAAAGGGAATGAGACATAGAGAGAAACATCGATTTTGTTATTCCACTTATTTATGCATTAAGTGGTTGATTCTTGTATGTGCCCTGACTGGGGATCAAACCCGCAACCTTGGCATATTGGGACAACACTAACCAAATGAGCAATCAGGCTAGGGCCTTGTTTTTATTTTTCAATTATAGTTTACTTTCAATATTATTTTGTATTAGTTTCAGTTATACAGCATTGTGGTTAGACAATCATTTACATTACAAAGTGTTCCCCCCAATATTTCCAGTACCCACCTGGCACCATACATAGTTATTATAATATTACTGATTATATTCCCTAGGCTGTACTTTACATCCCTGTAACTATTTTGTTACTGCCAATTTGTACCTTTTAATCCCTTAACCTTTTTCATACTTTCCTCCACCATCTCCCCCGTTGGCAACCACCAGTCCATTCTCTGTGTCTATGAGTCTATTTCAGTTTTATTTGTTTATTTTGTTTTTTAGATGCCACATATAAATGAAATCATATTTGTCTTTCTCTGACTTATTTTAGTCAGCATAATACCTTCTAGGTCCATTCATGCTATCGCAAATGGGAAGATTTCATTCTTTTTTATGGACAAATAATATCTCACTTACCACAGCTTTTATCCACTTGTCTATTGATGGGCACTTGGGTTGCTTCCATATCTTGGCTGTTGTAAGTAATGCTGCGATAAACGTAGGGGTATATATATTCTCTCAAATAGTGTTTTGGGTTTCTTTGGGTAAATACCCAGAAGTAGAATCACTGTCTCAAAAAATGAAAACTGTCTTTATATTCATCTTTGATGAGCTTAGTAAACTGACACTTCCATGACTTTTCATCTTCTATTCCTCCTGTGGATTTAAAAATTTTAGTGTACCAATCCCCTTTTCTTTTCTATATCTAAGTGTATGTTATTTCACAGCATTCTAAATCAGTTTTTTTATAGCAAGTCAGGTAGATTTTAAATTCTTCCTTCTATTATTTTGCACTCATTCCCTTAATCTAGCAAAATTTGCTCTCTTCAGGTCTGTACTCCTCATTACACTGACTCCTGTTTCCCTCAATTCAGTTCATTTGGTTAAACAGCAATCATTTTCTTAGAGTTAAATCTACTTTTTATTACAAATTAATTTTTGTCTGTTAACACAATAACAACTGATTAAAGGATATTAGTTGTGGATGGCTGCTTCATATTTTTGTGCTAGAAATCTGCCCCTAAGGAGTCAAAAAATATGTTTGATGTTTGATGTTAGCTACATTGGTTGTACAGGAGATCTATGGTTATTTACATTCCCATGTCACCTCTAAAGCTTGAGTCAACTTTAAACCTCTTAACTGGATATTTAAGTATCTGTCTAAATAGTGATTTAGTATGTTTATAGAATTATATTTTATTAGTTTTGATGGTGCAGGCTATGTTAGTTTGCTAGGGCTGCCATAACAAAGTACCACAGTCTGGGTTGCTTAAGCAACAGAGCTTTATTTTTGTACCGTTCTGGAGGCTAGAAGTCTGATGTCAAGTCTGATATCAAGGTGTTGGCAGGGTTGGTTTCTTTTGAGGCCACTCTACTTGATTTATAGATTGTTGTCTTCTTTCTGTGCCTTTAAGTGGTCTTTCCTCTGTGTGTGTCTATATTCTAATCTCTTCTCTCTCTCCTTTTTTTTTTTTATTAATTCTCACTGAATTAACATTGATTAGTTGCTTCCCGCAAAACCCTAACTGGGGCCGGGGATCAAACCTGCAACCCAGGTACATGCCCTTGACCAGGAATCAAACCCGTGACCCTTTGGTCTGTGGGCTGACACTCCAACCATGGAGCCAAACTGACCAGGGCTGATCTCCTTCCTCTTCTTATAAGGACAACAGTCATACTGAATTAGTGTCCATCTTCATGACCTCATTTTAACTTAATCCCATTTTTAAAGATTGTCTTTGAATACTGTTACATTGTGAGGTACTGGGGTTAGGACTTCAATATATAAATTTGGTGGGGTGGGGGAGGGCACAGTTCTGCCCATAACACAGGCTATAACTGTTTTATTTACCACTTTAGCTGAGTTTCTCTGTCTTCTTGTATTTACCACTGGTCTGCTTGTTGCCAATGAGTGTTTCTTTTATAGGAGCCTATCAGTGCTTCCCACTGTGGCAGCTTATAATAATCGAGCTCAAGCAGAACTCAAACTACAGAACTGGAACAGTGCTTTTCAGGATTGTGAAAAGGTCTTGGAGTTAGAACCTGGAAACATAAAGGGTAAAATATATTAGTAGAATGCTTTTACATTACAGCAGGATCCATTAAAGACTGTAGACACTCATGATGTTTACACTAAAAATATTTCAAATAAACTCAAATTCCTATATGGAAGCATTACCTTCATAAAGTTACTTTAAATTTCAAGTTTAACTTGGAATTTAAGTCCTTGATTATTTGCATTGAAGTAGCCAATAATCTCAGAAGTGTCAATAAAATATATGTGTTTTTTTTTAATACTCACCCAAGGACATTTTTGCATTTATCTTCAGATAGAGCGGCAGGGAGAGAGGGAGGAAGAGAGAGAGGAACATCGATGTGAGAGAGGTACATTGACTGGTTGCCACCCAAACGACCTCAACTGGGGGTAGGGATAAACTGCAACCGAGGTACACGCCCTTAGTGGGAACCAAACCCAGGTCTCTCTGGTCCGCGGGCTGACGCTCTAACCGCTGAGCCAAACTGGCCAGGGCAAAATATATGTATTTTTAAGAAAATTTCTCAAGCTTACATTTGACTGTGGGCTTTTTCTTTCAATTTTTTTAATTTTTTAAAATACATATAATGTAAAATTTGCCATCTTAATCATTTTTAAGTGTACAGTTTAATGGTATTGTTGTACAGTCATCACTACCATCCATCTCTAAAATAGTTTTCATCTTGTAAAACTGAAAATCTATACCTAATAAACAATAACTTTATTCTGCCCCGTCCCCAGCCTTTGGCAGCCACTATCCTTCTTCCTGTCTCTATAATTTCACTATACCAGGTAGCTAATATAAGTGGAATCATATAGTGTTTATCTTTTCACGACTGGCTTATTGAACTATGACTTTTTTTTTAATCCACACCTGAGGACATTTTTGCGTTTATCTTCAGATAGAGTGGGAGGGAGAGAGGGAGGAAGAGAGAGAGAGAAACATTGATGTGAGAGAGACACAATGACTGGCTGCCACCCACATGACCCCATCCGGGGCCCGGGACAAACGGCAACTGAGGTACGTGCCCTTAGCGGAACTGAACCCGGGTCTCTCTGATCCACGGGCCAATGCTCTAACCACTGAGCAACTGTCCAGGGCTGAACTGTGACTTTTTATTCAAACATACTTAAGTATAATTTAATACAGATTTTATCATATTTAGTAATAAAATAAGCCCACGCCAAAACTCTAGAACCATCTACCAGCTGTTTTGTGGGCATTTCCACCTAGATATCCATAGACAATTTAAATTAAACCTGTTCATAACCGCTTATACTCTGTCCTGACTTCCTGTCTTAGTGACAGCACCACCTTGCCAGGGTCTACACATAAAGTATGCAAATCAGACTCCATTGTCCATTTCTGTTATTAAGAAGGAATCATTTCAAGAGGAAGTAGTATAAATTATACTAGACTCATTCTATTTCTTTAAACATTTCTAGATTCAAACAAATATAAACACTTAATTTTTTCACATGGAACATACCTTTTGTACACTCATGAATACGCAAAAACCATAGGAGTGCTGGGGGAAGAATCCAGGAACATCAGCCCCAGTTGTCATGGTCATGGATTGCCCTCCTCTCACCAGTAAAGTTGTCTTGTGCCTATATTTTGTCTCTGTCACAGAGTAGGGGTGGGTTGCCAGGTTTAGGCCGGTGCCTGATAAAGGTTTTATGATCCCCTGATAGGCCCACACCACCACTGTGCCAGGCCCTATGCCAAGCACTTTGCATCTATTAACTCTGGCAATTTTCACAATAGCTCAGTGGAGGTGCAGAAATACTATTAGTACACTCATTTTTTAAAAAGAGGAACCTGAGGCATAAAACGATTATGCAACTCACCCAAGATCACATACCCAGCAAATGGCAGAGCCAGGACTCAACACTGGACAGCAGATTTCAGAGCCTACACTCAACCGCTGTGCTATGGCCTTATGTTTTCATTCTAAATTGTTTGAGTAATTTCTTAAGCATCAGAATCTTCAATATTTAAAAAGCAAATTTGACAGAGCCAAATCTAGTAATGAGTATTGACATAAAACTTTAAGAAGTCTTATGTTTGCTTAAATGAATAAATAACTCTTTACAATGTAATTTTTACTTAAATGATAATTATTTCAAATGCAATGTAGTGTTTGGATTCTATTTTGAAATAGAAAGAGGCAATTAGTGGAAAAATTGGTAAAATCCAAACAAAGTCGGTCATTTAGTTAATAGTACTATACTGATGTTAATTTTGTAGTTGTGGCAAATATACCAAAGTTATATAAGATGTTAGCACTAGGGAAAGTTGGGTGAAGGCATATGAAAACTCTGTATTATCTTTGTAAATTTTCTGTAAATTTTAAGTAATTTCAAAATATAGTTTTAAAATAATAGTTGAATATTTTTATATGGACAGTCCCTTTGGAAATCTGAGTAGTAATAGTAATAGCTAAACTTAAAGTATACTACTACAGTTTCGGTTAAATTTATGACAAAATGATTTATCCTTTAGATTTCCACGGTTCATTTTAAAACTAACATCAAATTGGTCAAATTTATATTTTAAAATAGCATATTAAAACATGTCAGAGATAAATTTCTCCCTTTTGAGAATTACCAAGCCTGATCCTTTTCAAAATAATGACTTACTACACAAAGTTTTCTCATTATATAATGGATAATGATGGGACTGGAAAGGCATTTATTTTCAGGATTGAATAATTATTAAATTATACATTGAAACCTATTTAAAAATCTGATGCAAATGACCGAGCCTAGTTTACTTAATCCTCATAATTCTCTGTTAACCATGTGAAATACCTCCTATCACTTTAGAGCTTGCCATAAAGATTTCACTAATAATCCCATATTCTGAGCCAGTTGCTGGTTAGTAATATACTAAATTTGAATAAATGATTTTCAACGTCTTCATAATGTGGTGAAATAATACTAGTGATGATTATAAGAAGGCGAATATAATTGTTTAATGAGAAGCCTCCCAGTATTTCTGCACAGCATGGTGCCTCTGAAGAGTTGAGGTGTGGAGTCTCTCAGCCCTTGGAGGAGCTGGCAGGGCCTGGGGCTGCCAAAGGGCCCAGTTGGAGGGGACAGTTGCTTGATGCAGCCTGTCGTTTCCCTCAGTATCATTTTTATATGTGCCACAATATGAACATGGGTGTAGTTAAGCTTTGCATAATTGCATCCTAAACTGTTCTGTGCTACTTATATTCTTCCACTTGAGAAATGTGTTAACCATAATACCATGTTAAAAAAAAAAATACAACTTATGTTGGTAAATTTTCAGCTCTTCTGCGCCGTGCCACTACATATAAACATCAAAACAAGCTTCAGGAAGCAATAGAAGATTTGAGCAAAGTACTGGATATTGAACCCGATAATGAGTTGGCCAAAGTAAGTACAGAAAGTGATTCCTCACCAAATTCTGTAGTTTACTATTTCTGTATTTATGTGAAAGTATATTAATCTTGTGGGATATATGATGTTGAGGATTAGGTTATAGCTTTAAAAAGTAGATATATCCCAGACACCCCAAGGTGTTAATATCGATTTAAAGTGGACGAAAGCAAGCTCTTAAATTGTTCAAAACTGTAAACCTACTTCTGAAGGACAGATACTTAACTTTTTTTCTTCCTGCAGTGTTGTAGGCAGTGGTTTTCTTTGAGCTAATTTCAGTTGATTATGCAGAGCAGTGTATAAATTTCCTAGGTGGGATTAGGCATGAGCTTAATGGCCATAAATGAGTGTTTCTCTCTGTAATGTACATAGTAAGTATGCATCATAGACAGCAGATGAATCAGATATGGACTTGAGGAATCTGTGGTAAGGCCTGAAGAGTAGAGGTAAGTATTGAGAACTGTAAAGGGTCTGAGATTTTACCCTACTTGCAAATTAACAAGGTGGCCTAGAAGAATATAGAAGATTCTTGGGTCAGACACCATAGACTTTGTTACAGCATAGCAAGCTGATGAGTTCAAGTTCATGTCAGTTCCCCTGTCTCCCTGATCTCATGGGGGTAGCACAGAACGTCCCAGATACATGCTGCACACCTAGTGGATTTGTGTCACAGCTGAGGAATCCCCCACCTTCCATGGAATACAAGCAACCTGCCCAACCAATGTAAGATGAAAACATCTTTATTTTCCCAGATTGCAAGAAAACCCGCTTTTTCCTCTGAAGAGAAATATTGTTTCCCAAGGCTGATTTCAGTACAAACATCCTTAAACAGCCTAGAGCAAAGGTAATTTAGTTCCTCTGCTCACAATGTATTCAGAAATGAGAAGCCCATGGAGAACTGTGTTCCAACAATAAGTTTCAGTGTTTCCACATACAGCTGTTGGGTTATCTACCTCTGAATGGCAGCTAAGTCCCTAGTGTGTCAGCTGTGTTTGTCAAGTCAGCATTTCAGAGGATTAGATTTAAGGCCCAGTTTAGGAACACATCTTTTGCCCCTAGTATTTCCTTTTTTAAAATAATGGTGTGTGTGTGTGTGTGTATGCATGTGAACATATCTAGAAGATGATCATCAGAATATCAAGTGTTACATAAGTGTCAGGATTTCAGATAAATTTTTTTCTCTCCTTTTTTATGCTTATTATTGCTTTAAGTTTTTTACAACAGCCATGTAGGATAATAATCAGACGAAGCAACAAAGCTGTTTGAAAAAGAAAAGGAGCACACCACCATAAAAAGTTTTATTTTAGTTATCATTATTCATTTTTAAATAGCTTCATGTTTTTATCTGGAAGAATAGTTACATTTTTTTTATTAAAGGAAAACATCTCATTTAATATGGTGATTATGTTGCAGAAAACTCTGTCAGAGGTTGAAAGAGATCTGAGAAATTCTGCACCTTCATCTAAGACTCAAACCAAGGGGAAAAGGATGGTTATTCAGGAATTAGAAAACTCAGAAGATGAAAATGCAAAGGACAGCGAAAGAGATCATGAAGATGGCAGTGGAGATAAGAGTAAAACATTTTTTTCTTTTGGTTATGTAAAATGCTACCTTCTTATATGATGAGTTTAGTCTGTCAAACTTTTCATAGCTTTACCTTGTAAATCCACAAGGAAGTTTTTCCTTAATCTTTTTCTTAATATATAGCTCATGTTTTTCTTTTTCCTTTTTTTAAATTGAGGTATAATTGACATAGCATTATATTAGTTTCAGGTGTATATTATAATGATTTGATATTTGTGTATATTGCAAAATGATCACAATATGTCCAGTTAACGCAGCTCATCTTTTTTTTTCCATCCTTACCTGAGGATGTTTTTTCCATTGAATTTTAGAGAGAGTAGAAGGGAGGCAGGGCGGGAGAGAGAGAGACCGACAGAGAGAAACATGGCTGTGACATTGATTGGTTGCCTCTTGCACGTGCCCTGCCCAGGAATCAAACCCACAACTCAGGCATGTACCCTTGACTGGGAATTGAACCTATGACCCTTCGGTGCCAGGGCCAACGCCCTATCCACTGAACCACACCAGCCAGGAATGCTCAATTTAGTTCCTGATTATCATCTTTAAATACAAATGTTTGCTGTCTGTGATGCCACCATTTGCAAGTTAATCTTTTATTTTATTTTTTTGGTTAATCCTCACCCGAGGATATTTTTCCATTAATTCTTAGATAAGAGTGGAAAGGAGGGAGGGAGGGGAAGAGAGAGAGAGAGGGAGGGAGGGAGAGGGAGAGAGAGAGAGAGAGAGAGGAACACTGATGTGAGGGAGATACATCGATTGGTTGTCTCCCACATGACCCCAACCGGGGCCAGGGATCAAACCTGCTACCCAGGTTCTTGCCCTTGACTGGAAATCAAACCTGCAGCTCTTCAGTCCTCAGGCTGAGGCTCTAACCGCTGAGCCAAACAGGCCAGGGCTGCAAGTTCATCTTAAACCTCTCTCTCAGATGATTGTCTTGTATGTAGCTATTGGTGTCAAACAAATGTGTTGGCTTCAAAGGGGTATACTTTACCTAAAATAAATGCATTGTTAAAAAATTGCTAAGCATGCCTTTCAAAAAATTTCTTTAATGTAATTTCACTTTTGCTATAATTTTTTAAAAGAATCTAAATTAGCCCTGGCTGGTTTGGTTCAGTGGTTGGAGCGTAGGCCTGTGGACCAGACAGTCCCGGGTTCGGTTCCTACTAGGGGCACGTACCAAAAAAAAAAGAATCTAAATTAGATAAAGCTTGATCTTTATAATATAAAACAATGACAGTTACAACAGCTTTAAAGGGAAAGATCTGCCTACTCATTTGACTAGAGGGGCGGGGATTCCCCCCTCTCCCCAATCTCGAAAGCCCCTGAACAACCAAGGGGAAATATCAAATATCCGTTTTGAAAATCATTCACAGATAAAAATCAACTTTAAATAATTTGACAGAATATTTTAATTTTGAGAGAGAATATTTTGATCTTTATTTAAAAATAAAGAGCAAGAAGTATAAGTTTTAAGTTTTTTTTTTTTTTTATCCTCACCCGAGGACATTTTTCCATTTTTTGTTCAGGTAGAGTGGGAGGGAGAGAGAGGAACAGAGAGAGAGAGAGAAACATCGATGTGAAAGTGGCTGCCACCCGCACAACCGACAAGGGCCGGGGACAAACTGCAACCGAGGTACATGCCCCTAGCGGGAACCGAACCCTGGTCTCCCAGGACCGCAGGCCGACGCTCTAACCGCTGAGCCAAACCGGCCAGGGCAGTTTTAAGTTTTTAATGACAGAAAATATAAAGTAAAATATATACCTCAGGTTAAAATAGTATCAGTTAAGCTAGAAGAGACAGAACAGAAGGGAGGGAGAGAAGTGAACACCGAGAATAAGAGCACAAGAGAGAAACAAGGAAGGACAACAGAGCATCACAAGGGTCAAAAAGGGAGAAATTAAGGTAAAAAGTCTTTCAATGGTTGAGACTCATCTTTCAGCAAAGTTCTGGCAGCAAATGTTCTTAGGGTTTATATTTAGTTTAAGGTAATTAGCCAAGTGCCTTACAATTAGAGGACATTATTTGAAATCTTACCTGGAACAAGATGTACTATAAACTATATCAATTGCTACTATTTTAGAATTATTTAAAATTTTTACATATAGTGAAAATGGACCTTTTTGGTACATAGTTTTGGGGTAATTTCATGTAACTACGACCACATTCAGAATACAGAACAATTTCATCATGCCAAAAAACTCCTTTTTGCTCTTCTTTTAGCTAAACCCTTCCCTCATGTCCAACCCTTGGTAATTATTTATTTGTTCTCTGTTCCTATAGTGGTACCTTGTCATATATAATAAGCAGAATCAGAGTATGTAACCTTTTGAGACTAACTTCCTTCATATAGCGTGATGTCACTGAGATTCATTCATGTAGTTGCATGGATCTTTGGTTCATGCTGAGTAGTATTCCATTAGTTGGATATGTTATAGTTTGTTTATCCTTTCTCTTGTTCAAGGACATTCAGGTTGTTTCCAGTATTTGGTATTTATGAATAGGGCTACTATTAATGTTCACTTGTAGGTTTGGGGGTAAATATACATTTTTATTTTCCTAGGGTAAATATCTAAGAATGAGATTGCTGGGTCATATGGCAAGTGTATGTTTAACTTTATAAGAAATATCCAAACTGTTTTTCCAGATGGTTGTACCATTTTGTCTTCCCATTAACAATATATGAAAGTTCTAGCTGCTTCTCATTCTTGCCAGCATTTGGTATTGGTTTTATTTTATTTTTTTATTTTTAGCCATTTATTAGTAGTCTCATTGTGATATTAATTTGCATTTTACTAATGGCTAATGATGTTGAACCTATTTTCCTGTGCTTATTTTTCATTTCTATATTATTTTTTTGTGAAGTATCTGTGGAAATTGAAACACTAATTTTTAAAATTGGGTTGTTGTTTTCTTACTATTGAGTTTTGAGAGTTCTTATAATCTTGGTTATTGGTCCCTGCTTTTCATCACATTGAATATTTCTTGCTAATCCCTTCTGGCCTGAAAAGTTTCTGTTGAGAACAGCTGACAGTCTTAGGGGAGCTCCTTTGTAGGTAACTAACTTTTCTCTTACTGCCTTTAAAATTCTCTCTTTGTCTTTAACCTTTGGCATCTAATTATGATGTGTCTTGGTTTGGGCAGCTTTGGGTTCATCTTGTTTGGGACTCTCTATGCTTCCTGGACCTATATGTCTATTTCCTTCAGCAGGAAAGTTTTCTGTCATTATCTTTTAAACAGGTTTTCAATTTCTTGTTCTTTCTCTTCTCTTTGCAGCACCCCCATGCTGTGAATGTTGGTATGCTTGAAGTTGTCCCAGAGGCCTTCCTGCATTACTTTCACTTTTTGGGATTAGTTTTTTTTTAGTTTTTTTTTTTGCTGATTGGGTGTTTTTTGCTTTCTTTTATTCCAAATCACTGATTTGATTCTTAGCTTCATATACTCTACTGTTGATTCTCTTTAGATTATTCTTCATTTCAGTTAGTGTATCCTTCATTGCTGACCAGTACTTTTTTATGGTTGCTTTGTCCTTTTTCATACTGTTGAAGTTCTCACCATGTTCCTTGAGCATCCATATAACCATTATTTTGAACTCTGTTTCATTTAATTTTTTTTTCTGGAGATTTCTCTTGTTCTTTCTTTTGGGACTGGTTTCTTTGTCTCTACATTTTGGCTGCTACCCTATTTTGTTTCTATATATTAGGTAGAGTTGTTATATCTTCTAGACTTGGTAGAGTGGCCTTGTATGGCAGATGTCCTGTAGGGCCCTGTGGCACAGCCTCCCTAGTCACCCAATCTAGGCACTCCAGGTGCACCTCTGTGTGGGCTGTGTGCACTGTCCTGTTGTAGTTGAGCCTTGATTGCTGTTGGTATCACTTAGAAGGGATTGACCCCCAGTCCAATCAGCTGCAAAAACCAGCTGTGACTATAGCAGAGGAGCTTCAGTTTAGGGGTAGACCCTGCAGAGCAAGACTTGCTTCAATGGGGCTTTGGTGCTCACAGAGTTTGTTCCTTGAGTGTGTCACTCGTGAAGGTGGTAGGGTTGTAATCTGGTGTGGTCTGAAGTTGTCCACCTGTTACACTGTCTCTGGGGCCTCCTGGCTCTATCTGGGACCACCTGGCATGAGTTACAGATCGATCTGCAGAAGCCCGTTCCTTGTGCTGGTCTTGGAGGTGCCCAGGCAAGGCCAAGCTGCAAGTCAAGGCCAGCTGCCACTGGTGTCATACGAGGGGCCATTTACCAAGAAGTCTGGGGTACACAGAGGACAGATGCTGCTTGAGAGATTTTAGGAAAGTCCAAAAACATATATGTGTATCAAATCATCACATTGAATACCTTAAACTTACACAATGTTTTAAGTGTCAATTATACCTCAATAAAGCTGGAGGAGGAGGGAAATGTTAAAATGCCCTAATCACAAAGCATGAGGCAAGAGAGGCCATTTGTATGGAAAAGACACTGGAAACAGTTTGAGTGGGCCTGCAAGTTGGGTAGGGTAGAGTCTCAGAGAATCACCAGGGCAGGGTGAACAGTACGAGCCAGGTTGATAGAGACTCATGTATGGTACTTGCCTGTCAGCTTTGTGGTGGGAGGTGTCTCAGAAAAGGAACAATGGCCTCTGCTAGCACTTTTGTCTGGCACAAAGCTGCCCCACCAGTTTGATGCCAGATAATTCAGTTCCTCCCTATATGTTCCTGGTTCCTTTCAAGCTGTTGCCCCAGCACTGGAGCTCAGAGGGAGTTAGTCTGAGTAAGTCCCTGTATGGCCCTTTAAGGGGAACACCTGAACATAAGCAAGCCCTCTGTCTCACTCAGCCACAATCTCCTGTAAAAACTTCTGGTTTTTAGAGGCAGAAGTTATGAGGACTTCTCCTCCTGGCACTGAAACCCTGGGCTGGGAGACCTGGTATGGACTGGAACCCCTTGCTCCTCAAGGGGAACCTCCTCAGGCAAGCTATACTTTCCAATTCTTACCTGCCACACGTGGGTAT